AAACTGTTGCTTCACAGGTGAATTGTTTATTCCAATTATTAATATAAGTAATTATTTAACATTAGTGCTGTTTATTATATTGCTGTTTCCTGACATTTTTTACTGTACAGTAAGAACAAACACACAACATTGCTTCAATAAAATGAATATTTATTGTACACTTAAATATTAACTTTAAATTTGTTAAATAAATAAACATTGTAGTTTAAATTGATTCTCCTTGATTCTGTCCTATTATAGTCCTAGAAATGCATCCCACAATTTAGTATTTTGCCATTGAATATTTAAGTCAGGAATAGTTTAAATAAACCATAACTGTATCTATAGAATGTTTGCATTTGTATTACAATTTCCTTACCATGCCTCCTTTTAATTCCCTTGCAATCACACTGACTTAAGTTTCATGATGATCCTGCTCTTGGCTACAGAGCATGAGGTGATCTGTCATGGTTAGAGGTGTATGTTTCTTTGAGTATGTCAGTGTGGTGTCAGGTTAAATAGCTCTAGCTGTGTGTTACAGGAGAGCAGTCGTTTGGAGGAGGAGGTCAGCATCCTGAAGGAGAAGCTGTCTGAAGCCGAGAGCACCATCTCTAAATTACAGAAGGATCTAGATCATCTGCTGCAGGACAAGGTGAGATTGTTAAATTGCTGTAAATCCTATCCTTTATGAAGTTCACTCTAAGAACAATAGTGATAATTGATCTGTATGCTTGTTTTACTGAACAGTATGGTGGCCTTGATCCAAATGGCACAGGACTGCTGAATCAAGAAGAGCACTTCTTGGAGATCTTTAAGGAGTATGAGCTGCAGTGCAGGGTATGAGCGCGCCTGTGTGTTTGGTGGATATTTTGTGTGGAGTGAATCGTGAAGTCAGCCCTGTCATTGCATTGTATTTAAGTGTCCTTGTTTGGCCATTATGCTAGCTATCCTGTAATTCATGGTGCTTTAAATGACAGCTTGAGGAGTTGCACAATTGTGCCATTAGTTTTGCTCTTTTGATTTGAGCCAGCAAGTACACCAAGTAACCACCTATGCTAAGTAATGCTAATGCAGAACACTTTAGCAACAAGGTAGGAACTTTGCCTATGATGCTCCTTATTCAAGTTAAGACACTACAGGCTAAGCCGTTGTTTTTACATGCACTGGTCAATTTTGAGAATTCTGGGCTATTTGGAATTTCATTTGAGGGGGAGAAAACATTTAAAATACCCTTAAGTGTTTTGTTTTATTGCACTTTTATCTATTTGCATCTGTAGATCTGTAGAAAGGCAAAGACTTAAAATTAGTTTATTTTCCCCTCATGCACCAAGTCAGCAATGTCTAACTTTACAATTTTATTCCAATTTATATTCTGATGAATATGTCAACAAACTGAAACAAGAATTTTGAACCTGCCATTATCCAATGTTCAGGTTTCTGTTCTGTAAATGTATGCAAATTAGTGAATATTTAATCATATAATGCCTCTTTTGCATAACATGGCATTTCAGGAAACTTGAATTACAAAAAAATGTTGGTGATGGTGATTTGTACTTTTTTTTTACCCTATTCACTTGGGGTGTTTTGCCTTTTTTTTTTTTATGTGTATGTATAATTGTATATAAAAACACTTAAAGCAGATGTGATACTTTTTTAATGTTGAAATACTTATTTTTGCAGTAATTTTTGCAGTTCCATTTCCATGTTTGAAAATTACATGTTTTCACCTCTGCATTACAATATATTTGTTTCAGGAAATGCAGAAAAAAAATAGTTTTACTTGTGTAAATGACTCTGTGTCTCCGCCCCACTAAATACAGGAGTTGCAGGACAGGAATGACGAGTTACACTCAGAGCTGGAGTTGTTGAAATCTCAGGGCTCAGGAAGGAGAGCCAGACGATCCAGGAGCAGCCTGTCTGGTCATGACTGGTCAAGCCAAAGAGCATTAACCGCTGAATCAGATTCTGGTGAATTTGACAAATATTTTGAATTAGAAAACCTGATGGATAATTTAATTACCTTTCTAGATCTCACACATCTCTTTCATGTTATACCTAATTTATATGGCTTAACCTTTATAGTAAACTGTTGAGTGAATAGCTCATCCTATCTGTTTTGTTCTGTAGATGATCCAGAAATGAAGAAAGGTACATCGCCTCAGGTCAGAAAAAAGCTCCAAGTCACTGACAAGAATGGTGAGGAATTATAAAAACGAAGCGATCTTTTCCCCATTGAATATCCAAACGGTTTATGGTTTGGTGTGTCTCTTTAGTTTTAGGTTGCTTGGTGAGTTTGGCTCCCGCTGTGAGCATCGAGACAGAACTGGCCATGGAGCAGATGAAAGAGAAAAACGAGCAAGAAGTCCAGGACTTGAAGATCCAACTGGAGACTAAGGTACAGACATAGTATGGAAACATGAAATAGGTTTGTTACAAGTAACCTTTGCAAATTAAATTATATTCAAATAGTAAGAGCTAAGGGGACAAGCTAAGATGTGCAAATGCTCCAAGACGTACAATTTTACCAGGTACCAAATAAAACCTTGAAGAATACATCAGTGAATAATAGGATTATATTGCAACACAAATTGTGAAAACAAAACCTTATTGAAGAGAGAAAGTGATTTATGGTCCTAATTTTGTTTCAACAGGTAAATTTCTACGAGCGCAGTATGGAGCTGATGCGGCAGAATATGGAGGTTGAGCGGAAGGACATCTCACAGAACTTTAAGATGGAGATCAGTGAGTTGGAGGGCCTGAAGGCTCAGGCAGAGGAGCGGGCAGAGAAAATGCGTCAGGCTGTTGAGCGGCTGGAAGCAGAGCTGAGGGGTAAGACTTCAGGAGGAGCCTGGGGTCCAGAGCAAGAACGGAGAATTCAACGGGAACAGGCAGAACTAGAGCAGAACTACGCTCGTGAGATCAGTAACATCGTGCTGCGCCTCACCTCAGAGAAAGATCAGCTAGAGGCAGAACTCAACCTCAAGATGGACCAGGAAGTGCTGCTTGTTAGGTAAGTGGCGCTCAAACGATCTGGTACGGGATTATGTGCAGCTCATCCATTGTAGACATTAGTCTTACATATTAAAAAAAGAAATGAGCTACCATGTGAGAAGGTGAATGGCTTGTCAGTGCTGAGACGGTCTTTAGGACTGTTTAGTGATAGAATAAAATACAGAAACCGTATATTATTTTCTGTCACTGTAAACCTGTCAAATATGTCCGGGTGATTTCTCTTAAACAAACAAGCAAATTACAATATTTATTTTCTAATAATTCTCATTTCAGTAATACAAAAGTATTTCATTCTGTTTACTGTAATGTGGGAAAAAAATATTATTTTGATTCTAAATGTGTTCATGCATTATAGTAGGTAGTATTTGGTTGTATTGAGTTTAACTGATGACTTAACAAAAAAGTCAAACATTTTTACAGTAATGTTACAAATAATGTTTTACAGTATGATGAATTTAATGGGAATCACCATTGAATACAATAGGAATTTAAAAACCACTCATAATAAAAACATTTGAATGCATTATAGTAATGAGAATTAATGAGAAATGTGCTCAATTGTTGATTAAAAAAAAAAAGAAAGAAAATGAATGCTGCCAAAAATTGCAGTGGTCCTAAAATTATATGAAAGTTCTTTACAGGCTTGGTGAGATTCACCCTATTGCCAAAATTGCATTGCTGAGAGAAAAAAAGCCACAAATAATACATTGGTGTGTAAGTCACATTTTATTACTACATTCAGAAATAATGTAAAATACTAAAATAAAAAAAAGTTTACAAACATTATGAACACTATTTTTAGTATTTTAGTTCCACTGACTCCACAACAATTGAAGTTTGAATAGTGCACTTTCACGTCTGTTCAAAGGGGGGGTGGGGGGGCGCAGTCAGAAGTTTTTGGGTCAGAAGTTTCTTTTTTTTTTTTTTTTTTTACTTTCAGTTCTTCAAA